AGGTCTCCGTCCGCTGCGAAGCCACCGCCATCCATAGTAGTAGCCCGAACATCCCTCACCTCCCCAAGGCTGAGGGCTGATGTCAGTTGGAATCCATAAAGGCAATTGGATCTTGCAACGACCAGGACATGTATACGGGGCAAATGTTTTTGACCTTTGCATTTCTCCAGAGTTCAACGTAGTTTGTTAGGAATGCTTGAGTGCCGCAAACAGTGAAATGTTGCACTGTTTGTTGTTGGATGGGTATCTGCAGCATCCCAAGTTCGTGTCCACAGCCAGCGTTCAACAGCTTACTCCAAAATCATCCACGGCATTCCACGGCCATTGATGCAGTTTCACTGACACTAAGAGCGAAACAAAACCCTGATTTTTCCAACAATCCAAGTAGCTGTCAGGCGGGACCTTGTCAAAGTGAATGACCCCTCGCTGAAAAAGGCGCCACCAGATGCGGTGGAGCTTGGATCCGATGGAGCTTCATGCCACGCTTCGACGTGAGCATCTGCAAAGTTCACAGTCCTCAGTTGAATTCTTCATGGTATCACTGGCACCCTGAACTCTGCATGAAATAAATCCGAACTCCCACATTCTGGGTGTCTTTTTGCAGCATTCTATAAGAAACTGTTTGTAGTGCAATAATTTTAAAAAAATATAAAATAAGCTTCGGTGGTATCCCCAACAGCCGCAACGTTTTATTTTTACAAATCTTTCTGAAGCGTGCTGCGAAGCCAAGCGCTGGAAACACCTCAGCTGGGTTTCTGTGAATTAAATGGCCGCAAATCCTGTTGAACCTGACCTGGCTCTGCACCAAAGCCTCCCGGAACCTTCTCCGGAACCTTCTCCAGAACCCTGTTGTCCTTGGCCTGGCTCTGCACCAAAGCTTCCCGGAACCTTCTCCGGAACCTTCTCCAGAACCCTGTTGAACTTGACCTGGCTCTGCACCAAAGCCTCCCACACCCTCTCCGGAACCTTCTCCAGAACCCTGTTGTCCTTGGCCTGGCTCTGCACCAAAGCTTCCCGGAACCTTCTCCGAAACCTTCTCCGGAAGCCTGTTGAACTTGACCTGGCTCTGCACCAAAGCCTCCCACACCCTCTCCGGAACCTTCTCCGGAACCCTGTTGAACCTGACCTGGCTCTGCACCAAAGCCTCCCACACCTTCTCCAGAACCTTCTCCGGAACCCAGTTGAACTTGACCTGGCTCTGCACCAAAGCCTCCCACACCCTCTCCGGAACCTTCTCCGGAACCCTGTTGAACCTGACCTGGCTCTGCGCCAAAGCCTCCCACACCTTCTCCGGAACCTTCTCAGGAACCTTCTCCGGAACCTTCTCAGGAACCTTCTCCGGAACCTTCTCTGGAACCCTGTTGAACTTGACCTGGCTCTGCACCAAAGCCTCCCGGAACCTTCTCCGGAACCTTCTCCAGAACCCTGTTGTACTTGACCTGGCTCTGCACCAAAGCTTCCCGGAACCTTCTCCGAAACCTTCTCCGGAAGCCTGTTGAACTTGACCTGGCTCTGCACCAAAGCCTCCCACACCCTCTCCGGAACCTTCTCCGGAACCCTGTTGAGCCTGACCTGGCTCTGCACCAAAGCCTCCCACACCTTCTCCAGAACCTTCTCCGGAACCCAGGTGAACTTGACCTGGCTCTGCACCAAAGCCTCCCACACCCTCTCCGGAACCTTCTCCAGAACCCTGTTAAACCTGACCTGGCTCTGCACCAAAGCCTCCCACACCTTCTCCGGAACCTTCTCAGGAAGCTTCTCCGGAACCTTCTCCGGAACCCTGTTGAACGTGACCTGGCTGTGAACCAAAGCCTCCCAGACCTTCTCCGGAACCTTGGGAACTCTCCGGAACCTCGTTGAACCTGACCCGGCGCCTGCACCAGCGCACACCGGAGCTATTCTGGGCTGAAGACCACATTAGCTTATACGCTGTTGGGGAAAAACACAAATAGTTTTGGACTCGCTATCTACAGCCCCTGGTGCAGGCAAGGATCTTGGCTGCCAGGCGGAGAGAAGTCATCTGAATTTGCCTTGGGAGCTGCGCGAAGTTTCTGCACCAATTAATTATATCCATGGAATCTAACGTGTCAAGGGTCAAACTACATCCGTTGCAGGAACTCTTGGAAGATTCTCTTGAAGAACAACGAAGCTTGCCAAGCACTTCTAGACGACCAAGCAGGTCCGTGACCAAACTTGGCTCAGAACCATGATGGAATCAGAAATGATTTCCTCGAAGGCACCCGGTGATGCGTAGCTCCCCGGATGTCAAGGTCAGAATCCCCGCTGCCGCTGGGCGCAGCTGCGCCGGCGCCCCGTGCGGCCCTTGCAGCTCGCAGAGTGGAGCTGCCGCGGTGGACCTCGGTTTTTCGCGGGACTCAGAAGTTTCTGCAGGGCTTGAATGAAGATGAATGAAATATGTTTTAATTTTCGTTGAAGGATATTTAACGTCTTTTAGGTATTTAGAAAAGGTCATATTGTTGCAATACCTGACAAGCTTCGGAAGAATGCAACTGACACCTCTGAATTTCCGGAACCAAACAATGCATGTCTTCAGCAGGACAAATCAAGACAGAACATCTGATGTCAAAACAACTTTGGCCCAAACATAGCCCCTTTTTCCAACATTTTCCAACCATATCCAACCCACAACCAACACGCAAGCATCGCATTTGTATTTCAGGGTTAAACAGCCAGTAACACTCAGCTTTTTCTTGAGCCATGCAACAGCGTATAAAGAGGATTATAACTATGTACATATACTAGCACTACCTATAAATACCCCCCGCCGCCCGCAACGTAGTGCAGGCAGGAAGACGAGGAGGTAGTACCAGCGGACCTGAGACAAAGACAAGTCAAAAATATTAACATGTACATAGTCTGACTCTAGCTGTCGCAAGAAATTATATGAAGTTCAGCACAATGACAACTTGTAAAATAGTGCATGGAAAACGAACTATACAATGCACAAAAATCGACAACTCACGGATGCAAAACGGATGCGATATTTTGGCACGGATGCAGTCGGATGCACACAGCATGATGACATGGCCGGACTCCCGTCACGGCTTTGATGCACATGACATTGGAAAGAGTCACTCGGACATATCAAGACACGCCTGTACAAAAGCAATGCCCTAAAAAGAATGCACATGGCCGGGCTTCCGCCACGGCTAAACTTCTACTCCTAGCCATGGGGAAGATTGGCAAAAATGTGCTTCAAGGCAAAAATTGAAAGACAAAATTTAATGAGATTGATCTCACCGACGAATGTAATAGATTTGAATTCAACAAAATTTAAGCTGATAAGTTCATAGCCTTTTACCAATAATCCCGTTCGACTGTGCCATCAGGGAAGGTGATCTCAGTGTACATTGTGCCATCGGCTTCTTCGACAACACGTTCTCTGATCACACCATGGCTCGTGACGGTCTCATGGGTCGTAGCATCAATCACTCTGGTGTTACGCCCAGGGCGGTACTCTTGAGGTGGAGGTCCAGCGGACGAAGATGCACCACCAGAAGGGGGTGGAGATCTCTCACGTTCGCGATCTGCGGCATACCCTCCCGAGTAGCTGCGTCCTTTTCCCTTGCCTTTTCCTTTGGCAGGTCCTTTGACGTAGCTAGTGTCGTGGGTCTTGCCCTTGGGGTCATTCTTTCCTTTTCCCCACCTCCTGTCCTCGTAGCCATAGTTCCACTGGCGCCAGCTATCAGCATAACGCCATTGGTCGGCATACCACCCAGACCTGCGATGGCCACCACTTTCGTCCCGGGCATATCCCCATTCGCCTCTTTGAACACGGCGCGTGTAATGTGCGCCCATGCCGCGATAAGGGCAGTCCCTCTGCCAGTGGTCTTGGGCCCCACACCGAAAGCACCCTTCCTGGGGCTCATCGTATGAGGACATTCTCCAAGTTGTGGCCTCGGGACGATACCTCTCCGTGATCCTCGGGTCGAAGTTACGGCATGGATTGTCAATCAATCCTTCCGTCTTCTTTGGACCCATGGCTGCTGGAAATGTCACGTCACTCGCCTCTGCAATAGGCTCATCAGTGTGGACATTCCAATCCAAGGCACCATGATTGTCGGTCCAATTTTGGATCGCGAAGCTGACGAGATCGTCATAGTTTTCCTTGAGCGGCTGTTCATCGAGGATCAAGATGCTGCCAGAGAATCCATAGATAGTCGGCGCGGGTTCCCCTCGCGCTGGAGCCAGTTTCGAAGTGTAAACTGCGAACTGGGCGAGGCTGAAGAACCTGCCGGAGTGGCACACCATTGCCTCATTTGACACATCGAGAGGCTTCCTCGTGTCTCTGCTCTGATATGGCATGAAGATCAGTCTTGTTTTGACGTCCGTACCTTTGCCTTCTCTCCTGGCTTCGAATGAGCGCCCCACGTCCGGAGAAATGCAACTTCCGAGCCTCTGGAGGAAGTCACAACATGGAGGAGTAAGCTGGGCAATACTGCAATTATACATAAAAAAACGGGTCATTCTCCATCCTCTCTCTGATAGAAGCGAAGCCAGTTTTCTTGAGCTTTTTGACTTCCTTCTTCGCCCCGTCCTTCATGACGCCGAAATTGGAACGTCCCGCACGGTTCCTCTGGCGTGCCTCAGATCCAGCTCGGTGCTTTCTGGGCTGCACCTGGCTGACTTGGCTGAGGGCGAATACGCCATGGATCTCTGCGGCACGGCTTTCCAACCGGCAGACTTCAGTTGCCACTCTGTTATCGCTCCATGCCTCCATAGAAATGTAGCAAGAGGGGCACTTTGCCATGCCGTCCAGCATATTGTGGTCGCATTTCTCACATTTTCGGAAGGGAATGGTCACCTTTTGGGCGGTGACGCAATCATGGTACTTGAGGTCCTCGATCCTCATCTGGGTGATGACACCGGCCTTCCCTCCCGGGTGGCCGCCCTTTCCTTTTCCACGGTTCTTGCCTTTGCCCTTTCCTCGTCCATCAATGACCTCAGAGTTGGACACCGCCGCATAGTAGGCAAACAGATAGTTCTTCATCTCTTCGGACTCAATGCCTTCTGCAGCCTCCATGTCGCGGATCACACCTGAAAGGGCTTTGGGCTGAACCAATGCAAAGAATTTGCCGGGCTCCACTCCTGTCAAAAATGACGACCACTGCTCCAACAGCATATCCATGCTCTTGCCACGCTTCGACTGGACGAGGGCTTGGACAACACTTTCGTCCTGATCCTTTGACTTCTTGACCCGCTCGTTGTAGCTTTTGCGTCCTGCAGCGTATGCTCTATTCGACCAATAGAACTCCCGTTCGGCCGCATTGTACACGCAGATGATGGCTTCATTGGGGATCCAATCTGGAGTCATGATCGCCTCGTCTGTTCGAAACAGACGGGCCCCCACTTGCATTGCCATCTCCACGTCAATTGCTACATAGAATGGCTTTCCGGCTCGCGTCCCCGCGAGCTTCTTCATGTTGGCATCCCATGGGTGCGTCGCAATGAAGTAGCTGTGGGCACGTCCAGAAGACTTCGGCCACCCTCCCGGGATCAAGCCATGTTGGATGATCTGTGACACAACCCCCTTGTCGCAAGAATGGTAGATGATTCTGGGGAAGTCGTCAAATTCCGGGACGAGATCGGGTCTGAAATTTGCTCTGGGGATGTCACCCTCGTCAACCTTTTCCTTTGTGAAGTCCGGATCCAATGTGTAGAGGTCACGGATCATGGGAGCAAATTTTCCCTTCTTGAGCACAAAGGCATTGTGTCCTTGGTAGGCTCGGACACGAATCGGCTGCCACGGCACACCCTTCCAGATGGCTTTCTCGTTGTCAGGTCGACGGACTTGCAATTGGAATCGTCGGGTGTCGCTGCTGCGGATGACTTGGAGAATTTCCCAATCAACCACGTTCCTGATCTTGTTGTTCAAGTGGTTGCGCAGCTCCTCCCAATCCATTGACAAGTCGGTGAAGTCCATCTCCGGCGATGGATAACCATCAGCAAGTGCGTGACCGCGAAGGTACATCGACATCTTTCCTGAGATTTCTCGGAGACGGCCATTGGCATTGACGTTCTTGTACGGGATCCTGCTGTTCAAGTCAGTCGGATCAAGCCATACCGAATCCTCAAGCCTCTCCTTCGCCTGCTCGAGCTTGAGCTTGGCAACATCATCCATCATCTTAGTGGGTGCCTTGGCGGTATGATGACTCAATGGCATCTTCTTTGCCTCTGGCTTGGGCTTTGCTGACGATGACGCTGCTTTCTCATCACTGGCAGGCCTCCCGGCGAGCTTTGACCCCTCAGCTGTGGTGGTGTTGGCATCGGTGGCAACCGTCTCAGAAGTGGTGACGTTGCCCCCCGTTTTCTCAACATCAACAACAGGCACAGGGTCCCCCCCGGCAACAGCCTCCTCCGTCTCAGGCGCCTTGGACTCTTCAGTCGTGACCTCAACCGCAGGGTGGCCGGTCTCTGGCTCTTCAATCACCATGACATCGTCCAGATTCCCAGCCTCGTCCTTGGTCTCTGTCTCGGTCTTGTCGACGTCCATGGCGTCATCCTGGATCACGATGGCGTCAGAAAACTCATCGACAGGCCCCGCGGTTTCCTCTACGTCTGCCCCATAGTCCACCTCAGTGTGGCTTTCAACATTGTCTTCATCAAAGATGTTGTGCACAATGTCGGGGCGGGAGTCGTCGATGGCTTCCCACCCATCAATTCCAGGGATGTTCTCCGTTGCTTCGCTCCGCACCGGAGACCAGTCGGCATCGGCGGCATCATCAAAATCAGCCTGTAGATGCTCCCTCAATCTGGCCTCTTCCTCATCAGAATCCACGTCGTCCTTGAAGACCGGTACGATGGATTTGAGGTCACTCTCCGTAAACTCAATGGGTTTCGGCGCACCCTCCCGGGTGGCTTCATCCTCGGCGACTTCATTCAGCTCGGCCATGTAGTCCATGAGATGCTCATCAGCAGTCTGGGCTTCCTGGGCGAGAGAAACTGGAAGTGCCTCACGGTTGAGAGCCGCCTGGACTTGGTCCGTCTTGGAGAGTGAGAACTTGAACTGGGCCAGGTTCGGGTATTGATAGACAATCTTCATGCGTTCTTCGGGGTCGTCATCCAAGAATGACGCCTTCTGGCGCAAGATTGGCTCCAATTCTTCGATCTGCATGACGATTAAATGGGCTCGGATCATGGACCTCAAAAACTTTATCATGAGAGTTCGGTTCGATGGGAGGTCCGTCATGTGGAGCTTGTCATACCTCGTGCTGAATGCCGAGGGCATGCACGTCGAAACGCACCTCACCCCCCCAGCAATGAGATGTTCAAAGCACCGACCCATCTCCAGCCCATATGACGGTGGGAGTCCATACGAATAGGAGTCTCCACAACC